CTCTCTCTCTCTCTCTCTCTCTCTCTCTCTCTCTCTCTCTCTCTCTCTCTCTCTCTCTCTCTCTCTCTCTCTCTCTCTCTCTCTCTCTCTCTCTCTCGAGGATCTTTTGAAGCAACCGCGATTTCGAGTCACGGTTGAGAAGGTTCGCGAGCACTTTCGAACGGTCCCTTTCTTCGAATTCCCTTTCCCTCGTAGAGAGAATCGCGACGACGCTTCTTCCCTCGCCACGAAATTCTCTCTCTCTCTCTCTCTCTCTTTCTCTCTCTCCGTTTAAAAAAATCCCTCGCGTGGATCTCGATCTCGAGAATTCGAGACGCGTGTAAATATCGACGAGGAGAACTGGTGGCTGGCAATGGTGCGGTAAAACGAGAAGGGGGAAAAAAGGAGGAAAGGAAAAAGGAGATAAGAATCGAATCGAATGGATGCTGCGTCAACGAAGGGAGGAGAAATTGCGGGGGAGGGGGAAGCGCGGGCGTCGCTTTGGTGGTTTCAGCCCGACGCTGAAAGCGCTCGTTGAAATGGCTGACGTTACTGCGCCTATCATTAATTGAAATTCCGTTACGCGAATGGCACGACGGTTCCTCGCGCGGAAGCATCTCGGGGATACACGGTCGGGAGAGTATACCAGACTCTAGATTCTATCGTTTTTATCGTGGTAAATTAGCGATGGTATGCGCTTAATTAGGAACACACTCCGGTATTCGTGTTTCGCTTAACGCGAACGCGTTGTGTTTCTCCTTCCTTCCTTTCTTTCATTCTTTCTTTTTTTTTTTTTTTTTTACCCAACGGAATATCGGTTGTGAAAATAATTGGACACGGCTTATTGTGTTGAACTCGCGGCGACGCGTTGAGGGCGCGTTGAATGTAGCGCGGGGGAATTAACAACGACGCAATGTTCGAATAACGCGGCGATTATTAAGAATGGGGCGCGGAAAAAAAGAGAAACGAAACTTTGGACGGTGGCGTGGTGGTGATTGTCATCGAACGCGCGAACGCGAATCGAGGAAAATAATTGAAAAAGGTTGGAAAGAATCGAATGGGATTCGGATTCGTGGATCTTTGTCACGCGCTCGACGCGCTCTCTCCGCGATTTTCTCGTCTCCTTTCTACTCGCTCTCTCCTCTCCTCTCCACTCCTCTCTTCTCTCTGTGCGCGCGACTTTCGGGATCGCTCTTTCGAAGTTCACCGGCAAGTTGCCTGTGATGTCTGGCCGGCGTTGCGAGCCACAAGAGAAAATGCCACTTTTGTGTCCCGGTTACTAATGCGTCTCGTAATAATTCGTTTTTTTGTCGACTACCTTTTACGTGACTCGTTTCCTCGTCGCAATTTCTGTCCTCTCTCTCTCTCTCTCTCTCTCTTCTATCGCGCGTCCAGGAACGAGAGAGAGAAAGAGAGAGAGAGAGGGAGAGATACGCGCAGGTAGGTAGAAATCAGTCGAGGGAAAGAAACAAAAGAATAAAATAAAAAAAAAAAAAGAAAAAAAACGTAGAGAAAGAAGAATCCGCGAAGTTTTATCTGTGAGGCAGAAGGTCTGACAACGCGGGGCATTTTGGATTATTTGCAGAAACGACATGGATGTACGGACAGAGAGGCCTCGAACGGCCGGCCGGATAGCGCCGACCGGACGCGTTACTCCGACCATACATCAAACAGGTGGAGGAAGAAGAAAAGCGATACCGGTCCCGCCGCCGAGGGTGCCGACCCCCATGCCCACCGCCAACAATAATCAACAAAAGTAAGTAAATTATGTTCCCTGATAGGTCGTCCCGTTTTTTCCCTCTCTCGTTCGATTCGAAAAATGTATCATCCACCGTATCGAAACCGTGGCTGTATTTTCGCGAAAACGAACGGTGTCGAGGATAAACCGACCTTTCGCTCTACGAATCTAAGTATGATTTTTATATTTCGATGCGTATTGAATATTGGTTAGATATTAAAAAAAAAGGAAAAAAGAAAAAAAAAGAAAAGAAACGAAAAAGAATTACTCGAACGCTATTCGATGCGTATTCGATGAATATTTGATATTGGCAGATATTAAAAAAAAGGAAAAAAAAAGAAAAGAAACGAAAATGAATTAATCGTAGGAAATTGAATCGAAAGAAATCGAATCGTTCGAATGGTTTTACGAAATTTTAATCTTTTTCTTTTATCAGAACTGACGCGTTAGCGCAGCGCGTACACGAAATCTCGATAAAATGATAAGATCCGCTCGTGCCTGTCCCATCGCTCGTCCCGTCCCGAATGAATGGAACGCTTGTTACGCTGCGACTCGCGTATCAGTTTCCGGTGGAATACACGGTTAATATATATATATATATTTCGATTCGACGTTTTACACGTTTTACAATTTAGATTCGCGTTGAAATATTGCAAGTGAGAGAGAGAGAGAGGGAGAGGGAGAGAGAAGGGGACGACGTCATTAAGTAAGTGGGATTTGGCGGAGAGTTTGGTCTCGACTGATCAAAGTTTACCGTTTAGCCACTACCTTCGGCCACTCCCGACCAATTTCAAGATGTTCTCGACCACGCTGTACAGCGTTCGGAGAGCGCGCAGGAATAGCAGTAATGTTGCCGCGTCCTCTTCAATTACATTACATCGCGGCCCTGTTCGATCTTGGAAAGCGTTCTTACGCGTTTTTACGCTTTTTAAAATCTCTTCTTCTTTCCCTAACGGAATGACGAGAATGATCTCTCCCTATCCAGCCTATAACACCACTTGGACGAAACGAATCGACACGAAGAGACACGAAGAATTCTCGATGGAGAATTTTTTTTTTATCATCGAAGCGAACGAATCGAAGCGGAATTGGCGAAGGGGGACGGGTAAAGCGACGCGATCGCCCCTTCTCGATAGGAGCGTGGTGGCAACTTTATCTTGCGGTTTAGCTGCAGGTTTCCTACTACACCTATATCTAGAAGGACTAGGGATAGGATATCCATTAAGCAGGGCGCAACGAAACACGGGAGGGAGTTGGATCCGTGTGATTAAAGTTCACGAAACACGAGACCACCGGCCACTTTACCGATCTCCTCGACCAATCTACTTCGACCACACGTTGGATCCACCCGGTACACGGATTTGCGGGTTCTTTACCGCTTCCTCCTTGCATTAACTCCGTGAAACGACCATCCGTTCCCTCTCCCCGGCTCGATCGTTATTTCTCTCCACCCACCCCCTTCCACCTCCCCTGAGAAAGATTAGCAAGTCCGATTGCACGAAGGATCGCTGCTCGTCGTCGTTTTAATTGTGCCGCTTTTCAGTAGCTTGTTAACTAATGCGGATTATTAAAGGGGGAGGGAAGAGGGAAGGGGGAGAGGAACAGTATTCCTGTTCAGGTACACGACGGGTTGGAACACGACGGGGGAGGGAGAAGGCCGGTCAGACTCGTTTGTTACGTTCCGCCGCGACGAAGCTGTGCCGGCTGACGTCGGTGTTTCCCGATAGATACCCGTGAAACGTATGTATGTATGTATATATGTGTATATATTATATATATAGAGTGCACGTCGCTCGAATCCACTTACCGAACAAGTCTTCAGTTTCGGGTTGAGGGACGGAATTCGAGCCACGTAGAAGACTACGTATTGCTAGCGATCCAAATTCATTTCCCGCACGTGTCCCCTCCCCTCCCGCGACGTTGAGATGCCCCGTCTCAGCGTTGCATACGTTACCACCCAACTCCGTGCCGCTCAACCACCGAACGTGCTCCTCGCGAAAATTACCGTTTAACCCTTTTCCGCCGCGCCACTCCCGAGAGAGAAGGTTGCTTTGAAAGAAGGTGTTTGTTGAAAAAAGATCGGTGATAAGATATGTATCGACACTATATTTCCAGAGAAAGATACTCGATGTGCAATAACTCCAATCGTCGTACGCAACATCTTATGCAGACCGACTAGTAGTAGCTTCTCTTTTCTTTCGAGAAAGATGGAAATCGCGGTGTAAATTTCGCGACCGTTTTGCCGCGAATAATAAGAGCGTAGTAAAATTTTTCACTCGGGGGGGGGGGGCGAGGTCGGTCGAGTTTTTGGTCGTGTTAGAGCTTGGTTCGTTTCTTCCATCTGGTATAATGGGGAAGGAAGGAAGGAAGGAAGGAAGGTGGAACTGTGGGGTATGGAATAAAATTCAGCAAATTCCCCGTGTCGAGGTATCGCGGCGCGTTGGTCGATCGATGGTCGGGGGAGGGTGGGGTTGGTTGTTCAAATTTTTAACGAGTCTCGCAGCACCGCGAAATTAATTACTTAACGGCTGGAGTTTTTTCCACGGGTTGGAAATCAAATCCCCGCTCCCACTCCAATTCCGCGGGCTCGTTCTCCCCCAACTGTTTTCTCCGCCCGACTAACTGACGGTGTCTTTGTTGCTTGCCTCTGATCACTGTTGTGCCGACACTTCGTTAATACGCGATACTTTATTGGAACGTGACAAGTATCGTTGAAACGCGTGAAAACGAGGGTCAAAACGGGTCGGGTAAGAAACTCGCCGTTAATTAACGCCGCTCTATTATTTTTTCGGGTCGAGAGATCGATGCATTTCCAAAATGTTGCATCGTACGTAACGAGAGAAAGAGAGAGAGAGAGAGAGGGACGGAGGAGATTAGAGATCTACAACTTAAAGACTCTCGAAAATTTACTCTTGGTTTCAATCGTGTATATATATATATATATACATATACAAGTGATCGTAAGCGGATTAAACACGCATCTACGTGACTTCGATGCGTAATCTATTCTCGCGCGCCGCTTTAATACACCGGATTAATCCGCTATTCTATTAATCAGAGATTCGAATCTGCTCAGTGACGGAACCCAGTGCCTGTGAGTGAGAGAGTGTCATCTTAAAAGGAACGTCGAATCGATCCGCGCTCAACTACCTTTCAATGCAAACTAAAAACTCGCCGGATTAAAATCGTTTTTTTAATTTCAATTGGCTCGATTCTAATTATCCTTCTCTCGATCGGCCGAGTTCCCGCGGTTTCGCGGATGCTGCGTCTGCGCGAGACGCGATTCTCTCCCTCCTCTTCCCTTACCTCTTCTTCTTTCTTCGCGCAACCCCCGACGATCCGCCGCTAATACGAAAAAAGGAGCGGCGCTCGAATCGAACGATCCGGAGAAATTTCGAACGGGCCAATTATCCGAAATGTCCGCAACGAATGCGAATTTTTCCGGAAGAATTTTAATTAATTAGCGGAGCCGATCCCCCTGGCCGAGCCGGTGGTGGTACGGTACACCGCGTGGAACAGGCAAAGGTTCATTAGATCCTTCACCGTAGGCTGAAATTCTGTCGACCGCAGGGCAAATAGTTGGCCGCTGCTTTATATAAAGCAGACAGCAGCGCTGTATCAAAGAGAGCTACCCGTATGTATTCATTAGGCGGTATTTAGCATAGTTCCGATGGGCAATGAGAGGCGGAGAGACAGAGAGAGAGAGAGAGAGAGAGAGAGCACGGTCTCGGATTGGCGGGGTGGGCGAGTCTCGCTGCTTCGAAGAATCGTGAAATTTCTCGATGCATTTTCAGTGTCGGCAACTCGTAAAGCGGATTGTTCCAGGAAAGCTCTCGATCATCGTAAATACTCTCGAGCAACTCGAAATAGAAAGGATACGACGTTCGTAGCGTTGATTCGTGGAAAATTGTTCCCGACAAAAATTACCACTTCTCTTTGTTTAATTCGATTGACGAACGCATGGACGATTTTGCGCCGGATCGAAACTCTTAGAGAAGATGGAGGAAGAAAGATGGAGGGACGACGTTCTTCGACAGATGGTTCGAATTGTTTTCGATTCGTATCGTAAATACTGGAAATGGCAACTGGAAATAGAAAGGGTATTAAAGGAAACGGCGTTATAGCGTCGATTCGTGGAAAATTTTGTGTTTTCGATTCGATTAACGATTAACGATCGACGATTTTGCCTCGAAAAATTAATCTTGGAGAAGATTGAACAAAGACGAGTTCCTCATAGAACGTCGAGAAGAAATAGAAAGGATACGATTCGTAGAAAATTGTTATCGGTTCACATGGACGATTTTGGACGTCGACTCTTAGAGAAGATGGAAGAACGACGTTTCCTTCTGGGACGAATGGTTGGAAGTTTTCGATTGGCGAGGCGAGGGCAAAGAGCGTCGTTTCGATTCGGCTTTTGACTCGCAGACGATGCGTTCAATTCTCGGCGATGGTTTTCGGTCCGCGAAAAAAGTTTGTCGGCCGGTTAATGAAGCGACACGGAGGCAACGTTTATTACTATTTACCGTGACAAGTGGGACGGAACCTAAACTCGCTTTTTCGAGCCCGTTTCTTCTCCTCTTCTCTCGTCAAAGGATCAAAGCGCTCCTCTTCCGTCTCTCTGTCTCGAGGATCGACAGGCACGCGCGCGTATTCATTTCTTTTTTTTTTTTTTTCCACCGGCGCGCTCATTCGGACGCGCGCGCCTGGACGTTTCGTTGGAAAAGCGAAAAAAAAAAGATAGATAGATAGATGGATAAAGAGGAATGCGCGGCAAAAGCGAGACGGATGCAACCGGAATCAAAACGATGGTGTAACCTGGTGGTATCGATCTTACTGGGAAAAAACGCAGCCGCTCGTAAGTTTTGCTCGTTACGTAAGGTTAATCTCTCTCTCTCTCTCTCTCTCTCTCTCTCTCTCCCTCTATTTGTGCCCGATCTTTGTTCGCCTGTACATCATCCGTCCCGATCCCCATGGTCATTGCGTTTTATCCGTTCTCCTCAGCCGTTGGACGATGCACC